TAGCTTATCTTTTTATTCGGGAACACCATGGCTATTTGGACTTGTAAAAAATAATTTACAAGTCCAATTTCTCACACTTCTCAGCCTGCTGGACATCTTAACTTGTTATTTCAGGGAAAGAAAAGTTTAAGTCAGTGTTTTGCTACAGAACGGGGAGTAATTGGACAGACGGATGTCAGACAGAGACAAACAGACAAACACAATATGATCAAGCTGTATACAAGCAGCAAAACAGAAAGGAAAGAAAGGCAATGTTTAGAGCTGCATGACCTCAACCTAGATGTTTCAAAGGTATTCCTACAGCAATATGATACCCTGATATATTTTTATTCCACTGGCAACAACAGAAAAGCAAACAGATTCATGCATGAGCTCTAGAGATACCTATCGTGTCACTTAATTTTTCAAGGGAAAAAAAAAGGTTTCTGCTCAGAACACCAGCACGTAGTGAGCAGATAGGTATCTCCATGGTCTGCCTCTCCATCTCATCTCTCCAGAGAATCGGCAAGGCAAGTTCTCTTTGGAAGAAGAGACCTCAGCGTTTCAAAACACGCACGCTCCACCCTTTGTCACATACACACAAGCAGATTTGGGGGAGGGATGTTGTCATCTTAAGTGGCACTGACTTATTTGTGTGACGTTACCAGGCCGCTGCATCAGGCAGTGGGATTCTCTGCCCTGCCCTACCGCAGGCACTAAAGCGCCCAACGTGCTGAGGAGCCGACTCGGTATGTGTATGCTTGTCCCTGAAAACACGCTCTAAACTAACAGAAAAATAAAATGAAATCTAAACATCACTTTCAGCTAGTGCCATGAAGGGCATAAAAGCATAGGGAAATATGTAAAGGGTGACTGCCATGAGGATGGAGCCAGGCTCTTCTCGGTGGCATCCAATGATAGGACAAGGGGAAATGGATATAAGCTGGAACATAGGAGGTTCCGTTTAAGCATGAGGAAGAACTTCTTCCCAGTAAGGGTAACAGAACACTGGAACAGGCTGCCCAGAGAGGCTGTGGAGTCTCCTTCTCTGGAGTTGTTCAAAACTCACCTGGACGTGTTCTTGTGTGATCTGATCTAGGTGGTCCTGCTCCGGCAGGGGGATTGGACTAGATGATCCTTCGAGGTCCCTTCCAATCCCTGACATTCTCTGATTTGTGTTGTAAATCATTTCAATCTGTGCCCCAGATGGCATTAAACACTTTGCTTCTCTGCGGTTTTATTACAGAATAAGCACTCCTATGACCTTTAGAGTGGGCAATCTGTGTTTTCATCTAGAGTATAAAGGTGCCCTTCAGTGGCAGTAAGTATATTGGTCACCTTTAAAATGGTGTTGATGTTGTCAGCTCAATGTCACAGATCTTCATCACAGCTAGACCCTATGACCCAAAATAAGGGGAAATACAAGCCAAGGTATCCCCTGATATTTCTGGGAAACAACAGATTCAACTCCCCTTAAACTGCCAGGGGTGCAAGCAAGAACCCCACTCCACCCTCGTCTGATGAGCAAGGGTCACAGGAGCTCATGCCCTCTTTGTGTTATGCTCTGTTAGTAGGAGTGCCACGAACTGGCACCCCTGAGCAACACAGCTGTGCCTACAAGAGCCCGCAGAGTTATAACTACAAAATGAGGCTTTTGCTTAAGCAGCTTAATCCTCTTGAAGGGGCAGTTTTACTGCACTGATATGGACCCCTTGCAGTTGCACTCCCAGCACAAACCAGCACAGCACGCTGGTGGTCTTTGACCAGAAGAGCAATCCTGACCCAGGGACTATCCCAGTATTCACAGTCTGATGATGAAACTCAGATGTGAGTGATTGTAACTGAACAACAGTGGCTTCAAATCAAACACCAAACACAGTATTTGAACGGACACAGGGAGGCACAAACAGTGTTTCGTTAGATGTCTACCTATCACAGGTTCATTACACTGCCTTCGTGGTATCAATATTCATCTAACATTCAATATGTCCTTGGGGGAAGGTAAACAATTTCTGAATTTGGGTTTTTCAAAGACGACCTGAAAGATCAGGCACCTAGAACCCAGGGAAATAGGATGTCAAATTTGCTGTAGAGCCTTTAGAAGCCATTTTCTTAATGCTTATCTCATTTCTTCTCTCCTCCAAACCTTCTGCCTGGGCATCACATAGAACTATGTAAAGTTGGGGAAAATGGGAAAAAAGAACAGAACTGGAAGGGATGCTTGAGACCATCAAGTCTGACCCCTCATCAAGTCTGGTCCTAGACCAATGGGCACACGTCAGTGAAGCCAAGCCCTGTGTGAAATGGACCGTAGAAATCAGAGGTAATACTGTTACTCTTTGTTCCTGCCCAACCACAGCACCACCAGCAAACCAAGGAAACCCAAGTACCTGCATAGCTCATGAAGTTACTGAACGGTGTGTTTGAGAAACTGTGGAAACCACACGTGTCATTGCCAGGTCCAGGATCCCCGCACAGCTTGTGCTTAGGAGCAGGGTTGGTGTCACTGCAGAGGTCCCCGGTCTCGAAGGAGGGCTCAGTTTCCATGCATGGATCGCTGCAGGAGAGGATCTCTGAGATTCCCCGGAAGACGTGATAGAGCCCCAGGCTGTGCCCAATTTCATGGATCATTGTGTGCGTGTGGCCAGGGATTCCATAGAAGGAAGGATTCAGCACAATGCCACCTGCAAGACGAAAAGAGAAGAGCTTCGTTTGCCTTGTCTTCCTCCGAACAGTAAGAGAAAGGGAAAGGAAGACCATCCTAACGGCAGATCCCCTGGCAGTTCATCGGATCCTCTATAGCACAGGCTGCTTTTTGCACAATCCGGCACGCGGCCTGCCCAGAGAAATGGCACAGCAAGGTTTAATCCCAACGTTAGTCTAGGGCTCTAAGGATGAGGAATCACGGGACAAAGTCAACGTCCTAAACCAAAAACACAGTGACAATCGGTCTTTCCACTGAATATGGTCAGTTTGGTTGGTTTGTTAACTCAAAGAAAAATCCTACATGCAATTGCCTCACACTACGCAATTCCAAATCCTTTAGTGCACTTAAATAGAATGATTCTGCCCAGGTAAGTGTAAACAATTCATTTGACACCAAGAATCAAACAACACATACCTGGAGCGCTCCCTGCATATTATTCCACAGAGGAAAGATATAATAGAAGCCTATTAACCTCTGAAACATCCTAAAAATTGTCGTAGGTTGCACCAATATTTGCAAACTAACAGCTGGACGAAGGAAACAATACGGCCAAGGCTGGATGGGTTTTTGTGGGATGTGCTCTGATCACCCAGACAGCTGGAAGTGACTGTCAGAAACACACTCTGTTCATGCACTCACACACGTCTGGTTTGATCTGAACTGCACAGTCCACTAATGAATATGCAGAAAGTCTAACGTGTCAAAAAAAATGAAATCCTAGAATGTGATAATTTTAAAAGAACTGCGTAGTTGTTAAACGCGCGCAAAGAAAACCAACAGTGATTTTTTTGTTGCATGAATTATGTGTAGATAAGCAAATAGTAAATTAATGAGGCTTTACAGTATATTGAATTAATCATAAGAATTATATTTTTAGCTTAGCTAGATGTACCTATGGATTTATGATATGCTTCATGTTTTCTTTATTTAGCTTGTTGACCTCAAGTTTTCCAAGCCTTCTATTTCAAACTGTTTTTGTATATTGCCTACCATGAAAATGGGAGACTGCTTTGTAAAAGTTATAGTGGGAGAATAAATCTTGGATATAGTACACGAATAATTTAGTGACAATGAGGAGAGAAAAGGTTTTGGCAGGAGGAACTTTATCAGTGACTGTAGTGCAGGGAAGATGAGATCACTGGGTTCTGACGCACCATAGACTCTTCCTTCTCATCTGCCTGGAGACTTGGTTACAATAACCATGGAATCAGAGGAAAATAAGACTGAGAAGATCTTAAGAAGTCATCTCAACACCATTCAAACAACACAGGACCAATTAGTTCTATACCATCCCTCACACAGATTGGCCTAACATGTCTTTACAACCTCTGGTGACACGACTGCCCCAGTAACCAATTTCAGCACTCAGTGTCCTTACAGCTGCAAGGATTTAACTCAGATCTAATCTGAATTGATTTTTTGGCAATTTAAGTTCATGACTTCAAGTCCTGCCTCACACAGATATGAGAAACAGAAGATTCTCCTCCCCTTTCATCAGCTTTTACGAGATTGTCATCATCCCCACTTCAGGCTCTTTTCCTTCAGTCTGAATAACTGCAATCCATTCAGCCTTTCCTTGGAGCTCAATCCTTTTTCTAGACCTCCCTGACTGTTGTTCTCCTTTGGTTTTACCAGTTGTCTCACATTTTCCTTCGAGTACAGCATCCACACATGATACAGTGTTCCAACAAATTTCAGTGTTCCAACTGAAATTTTGCCAGTGCTGAAGAGAGAGGAAGGACCACTTTGGATGTCTTGCAAGGACACATGCTTAGAGAGAAAAGACTTTCCCTTTGTGCATGGGCATGTGTGAATACACACACGCAGCAGAGAGGAGTCCCATGGGTATGTACAAACACATAGTATCAAAAAAAGAACTGAAAATTTGAATACAGACACAAAAAAGTGAATAAAATTAATCATACTGCAACATCAGGCCTGTAATGCCACATGCAGCATCTGCACATCCTTTTCACAGCACTGAACCGGTCCTTACACTAGTTCTCCACAATCCCAATAATTGTATACAGCCCTACCAGTACACAGCGACTGCAACACCCACATTCCTTGTATCCCTCTCCTCCTTTACACAATCATGTTCTGATGTCTCCAGTGCTTGGGCTCTACCCAGGTGAAGCCATTTACACCCAGAGAGTACCCTGCTATATTGTTTTGTGGGAGTCTCTTTCCTAAAGATAATTCCAGAGTTTGTTTTCCAATGGCAGGAGCATGGGTGAAACTTCCCAGCAGGACATGCCTTCAAAATAAAGGTTGGGTAAATGGTTCTGGCATTGGACAGCCCTGAGGCAGCTGGAGAGGGAGATTTTATTTTTGTCTTTGTTGAAAATTTATATTTTTCACAGCTGTCAAGAATCTAAATCAATTGCAGTTTTACAGAAAAGATAAACTCCCTCACCCAGACAATCTCTATCCCAGCCTTTAGATCTGCACCACAGGACATATTTCATATTTTTTATTAAGTACATATTGGATTTATAGAAGAGAGTAAAAAAGATTAAAGATGAATTCTTACAGACCAAGCACAGGTCTGGGAGGGCTATTATAACAGGAAATTATGACCATTATTTATTTATTTTTACTTTTTTCCCCACTGCAAGTCAACTTCAAACTGTTGACTAGTGTCTTTTTTTCTCGTGAGATCTTTTTTTGGTCAATGAATTCTGTCAATACATTGTAGGAGCTGAATTTAAATTGTTTTGCTCAGGCATGATGTTGACAATTAGCTTAACGAAGTGACAGAAGAACTCATCAGGGCTTTGGGCAAGCCCCAGCCCTCTTGCAGAAGGTTCTTCTTGATGCTCTGGAGCTCTCCCGCCTTGTTCTCTGCTCCCTCCCATGGCAACACCAAGGGAAGCTGTGAAAATACTCATTTAAGGAAGGATTGGCTATATTGCAGCCTTATTTCACTTCAGCAGTGGCTTTAGGGCTAATGTTTCCCACCAGCAACCCATACTGTTGCATAATGAGAAGCAAACAAAGTTACTGTGGGGCGAGGGCAGGAGAAGGGGGTTGTGGTATTACAAAGTGATAGAGATGACAGCAGCGTGGGTGCTGGTTGAGGCACCCACAAAATATCCATCTTTGTTTTTACCAGAAAATGTTGCCATGGGGAATGCTCACTGGCAGGCATTTACAGCATCTGTTTGGGTGCTCCCAGCAAGAGCCCATGGAGATGGGGCTGGAGGCAAGTCAGAGTGGAAGTGGCTTCACTTCCAGCCCAGCTTGGCAGGAGATGGGTTAGGTGTCAGTGCCGGTCCTTGGGAAGGGAAGTTTGCTCACACTTCTTCCAGAGCAGCTGCAGAGCTTGCTGTTGTAATAACACGTTTACTAACTGAAGCAGGGCAGCCAGCTCCAACTGCTGGGTCTGTCCATGGAGCCTCTCTCAGCTATGGAGACAGGTGACTACAAGAGATATTAACTTCTAGATTTTGGGGTAATGTATTTTTGAACATGGAAAATCCTCCCTGACTGAGGCTTGGGCTGCAGTTCAGCACTTACAGTACGATTTAGAACAAGCAGCCTATTTGCTCTCCTTGTCTAGACTTTACATTTGCCACATCCTTATTGTTTTGCTCAATGTGAGGCTGGGTAATATAAAAACTGGCTGAAACAGCCTTTCACAAAGACTGATCTTGGATGAAACTGGACTTCATTTCCAGCCTACAAAGGTCTGGACAAGCTGGAGAAATATCTGGAAAACTTGTGAGAATCCCTGCTCTTCTAAGATGACCAGATCAGCTTTGCAGCCCCAGGGAAGTCTGTGCAGTTAAGAGACGTGCATAGAGACTCAGTCGGTGCCTTCTGAACCTTTTGAGGTTCATCTGACATTTTGCAAGGAACACAGGTCCAGTGGCACTGCAGGTGTCAGGGCAATGAGTCATTTGGGAGGTTGCACAGCTTTGTCTGGATCCCTGGGTTCCAGCAGCCATACTCAGCAACTGAGTTATGAAACATGCAGGGCAACCTGCAGGGTAGTGAACTCTTTTCAGTTCCACTTTAATGAACATTAGAAATACAATCTCGCAGCAGTTTGCTCTTTTGCACATTGGTAGAGAAAAATAGTAACAAATGTTAATCATAATCTGTGAGGACAATTAATTGAACACTTACTAAGTAATGAACTAAGGATCAGAATGTAACAGGAGAAGGTTAAAAATTCACTTCTGCCCAGCGTACCCCAACCTATCCCCCGCAATCTTCTTTTCAAAGTGCTCCCATGGAGTGAATGCCCTGTAAAGTAGCTTCACTTAAAAGGTGAAATACTTTCAGCTTGACATCATCTACAAATACCATAATATGCTTTGGGTTTATAACCTAATATTTTCCTGGTTGTGAGCCAGTATCTGGGAATCGTGAAATAGTTTTTTTCCCCTGACTATATATTAGAGGAACGATAAGAAATCAGAACAGAGCTTAACGCATATTTGTCTTTCCTTCTTAGTGCATCAAAAGAATGCTTTACAAAGAAGAAACATCTTTATCACTCACCTAGATGCATCAAGGCTTCCTTGTCCCAGGGCCAAGTTGCCACTCCAGCCAGCTCTTCCTCAGAGGAATTGGCAAAAAAGATGTTGAGGTGTGTGGATCCATCCAGTTTGAGTATGTTCTTTAGCTCATTGACATCCAAGTATGCTCTGTAGAAAAAAAGAAGTGTCTTTTTTTTTTTCTAAAGGTGACAGAAAAAGCAACAAAGTATTGAAGAAGTGCTGCAATCCAGGCAAGGTCTTATAATATCCTGGGTATCAGTCACCTGAAATACTTTAATAACCCACTCCTGAACTTCAATTACTTCGCATTCTTATAGTGAATCTCATCTAAAGACTTCAGGCCATTGATTAGCTAAGGCCACAAAATCCAAGGTAAATACATAAAACTGTCCACATTCCTAAGATAAGTATAAGAATCTATTTATTATGAGCATAATTAACCACGTATTACAGTCAGTAAATCTTTTTATATCAGCAGGTACCTTGCACATTTCCGCTAAGCTGTTTATTATTGTTACCTCTAATTTTCCTTCACAATAGCACATTTCACATCTTCAGGTTGGCCTAACGACGAACAGCAGCTCATGAAGTTTCTCCTTTAGCACCAGTGGCAGTCACTCGTGATGAGATGCACGCGGTCTATCCCTGGCATAGTATGCTTGTCTGGGAATTGCTATTTCTAGCAAGCAAAGCTGTGCCAAGAGATCTCCGCAGCAGTGGTACCATACCATGACATAAATTGCTAAGGCTCCCTAGGTCCCCCCTCCAAGATGAACAGAGTTTCTTCTTAGCTTTTGGGTTGCTTGGAGGTTACAGAGCCAGCTGCTTCCAGGCAAGCAAGGCCAATCCCTTAAGCTTGATGGCCGTTGGAAGCACTTTTAGCATCCCTTTGAAGGAGTAGACTTTGTCAATACTGGAATACAGCAGGAGCTACTTGCCGAAGTGTGTACCACGGTGTCACGCTGCTTTCAGTGGCACCGTGATGCTCTAACTCAGAGTAAAGCCAGAGAAAGTGAAGCATAAGAGTAAATCTATTGGTTCTTTGTCTCCAGCTCACGTTGTCTTTTGATATTAAGTGTTGTTCTAACATCTAATCTACAACAAGGATGAGTTGTACTATCTTCACTGGACAGGTAGAAAAACAGTGAAAAGACAGATCACATAGAGTCAAGCACGGTTGACTGGCTTTTAGGGGAAGGACACCGTAATGGTTTTGAGCAGGTTGATTCCCGCTTCCTAAAGTCCCCCTTTCCATATGTTTATGGATGTGTATAAGGCTCACGTAGCTCTCACAAACCCAACGCGCTCACATTCAGTAAGCAGGGTTCCTTGCATACTTTGAAAGGCTTTCATTCCCAGAAGGGTGAGGAAAAAATAGGGGAGTTGGCTCAGCATCAAGATCTTTCTGTCCTTCCCTGGAGGACTCCCCAATGGAAAACACATTCATATTTCCACAATAGCTTCCCCTGCCACTTGCTGAAGTCATTGCCTCCAAAATAGCTCATGGCTGGGTGTCCCCAGGCTCTCGCTGACTCATGGAGGAAGACGTGCTCTTTGGGGACACCAGTGGAAGGGTATGTTTCCATTCCATACAGTGTTTATCTTCCAATCAAACGCAGATGAGATTCTTAAGGACAGGTCAGCACTGTGACCCTCTACACATTTCTCATCTCTCCACTGTTCCCAATACATCTATGGAAAATACACAGATCTTCCCCTTAGCTCCTCAAGCTTGTCCTGCGTGTATCTGCACAATGTTCTGAGGCTGTGCCTAAATCTATTTCCAGGATCTTCTTTGTGCATTTGAAAACATCTTTTCCAAACACGGGCTTCTACTTCCACACATCCACGAGCAATAGTTTAAAATTACACGAGAGCTAATGCGCATTTCCAAACGAAAGAGTAGGCGCCTTGGGGGAACACGTGATGGAGGACGTGTGCATGTGTATGTCTGCATGTGTGGCAGCATCAGCGAAAGTCAGGGAGCAAAAGCGGAAGAGAGAATGTGGGAGTGATGCGATACTGCGTGCAAGACAGAAAAGGACAGAAACAGAAGCACTGCGTACCTCTGAGTAGAAAAATGTTTGTGTGTTTTGCATCACAGCGGGAAGGAAAGGGCCACTGTCTGCACTGAGACCGCGGTTGTTGACTCTGGATGCAGATACTTTATGGCCTATGCATATCCCTGTAGGAGTAACTATAATCAAACTCCCCTCCTGAGATTACTGTTTTTATCCCCGCTCTTCTCTTATGGTTTCAAATAATCTAAAATAATATTTCTCTGTTCTCAGCTGTCTCTCTGCTTATTGTTTACACAATCCAATCCCCATTTATATCCTCAGTGCGTGGCCACGATCGCCCTCTCACTTGCACACAGGCTATGTGCTTCAACATCTAGGGCTGTTTTGTACATGGATTATTACAGCAGACCACATCCAGAGCAGACAGCATTTAACTAATTGGCCAGTGATGTCAGTGCATCACCAAGGCTGAACTCGTGTCTTACGCAAATCCATCGTACGAAGTCAATTGAGCTCGGTTTGATAGTATTTCTCTGACCACTAACGACGAAGTCTGCGAATGAGCGGAATATATTCAAAGGGTGTAAGAACAGAACGCTAAGAGGATCTTTAGCAAAGGTTCTGCACAGGAGTAGGTGTAAACGGATCATGCTCGGGAGGAAGTAAATGCAAACCCTTTTGTAAAAGCGGTCAGCAACCCCCAACACATAAACACGCTCAAGCACTTTGCTCAGGCAAATCCCTTGTAAGCGTGTGAACACGTGCCCACGTGTGCGTGCACAAACGGAGGTGTGAGCGTGCAAGCGAGGGTTTGGATTGTGCACACGCATGAGACAGCCAAGAACATGTATGCAAAGGAACCAGCGTGTGTGTATGTGTGTGTAAGAGATAAAAACACAAGCTGGAATTCCATCCTCTCCTTCCTCCCCATGTTTCTAATAACCTCCTGTCCCTATCCATCATCGCCACATTCCTACACTCAAGGAGGCATAAATTAACTACTTTTGCAGTTCATGTCCAACTACGTAGCCGCAGGCAGCAGACCCAACAGTTACCAGGTCAAAATAGTTTTCAGTTATTGTGTTGGACTAGGCTGACTCCCCCCTGCTGCCGCGGCTGCTTTGTTATCAGCCCAGACTATCTGACCCAACGCAACGCGCGAGCGTTGCTTACACTTCCCAAGGTTATGTGGGTCCCCTGATAGAGGACATAATGTCTGTCACATGGGCCCGTGCCAACGAGAGCCAAAGAGCCCAGCCTTCCCAGCACTGCCAAACTCGCATTTCAAAGACATGAGTGCAGTCTTGGAAAGGGATCAAAGCCTTTCCAACTGTCATTAGAATATTTCTCTTATGCATCTCTCCGTGAGCGCCAGCAATACATTTCATAAAATTCGTTGGCTCGAGATGGTACCTCCAATATAAACCTGAATGGGGGAACTGTCAGGGCAAGTCTGTGTGGAAAACAAAACAAAACCCGAAGCACAACAAAATACATGTAATTCCTGTAATGGAAAAAACATACAATGCTGTGAGCGTGCCTTGCTCAAGAAAGCCTAATGATCCTATTAGTGCATCATAAAAGGTCTCCTTTGCTGGAATCTGGTTTAGACACAGTAATTCTATGGGCTGTTTAAGGCCATTTGGGACACCAAATCATATCAGGCCATGTGCACGTTCCCACCTAGATCTTTTCATCGACTTATTTGTCCAATGCACAGCTTCAGTTTGCTTTTTGCCTTTGCTGCAGTGTACACAGCCCTCTGAAGCTGTATGGTGCAGCAGCTCACCCTTACGCAGCCAGCCCAGCCCTCAATCAGTAACACGCATCCCGCACAGCGCTCCAGTTTCAGTCTAATGGAGTCTTTAGCTCATCCAGCAGCGTCTCACGACCACCCTACCCACCCCATCCGTCCCACGAGCCATTATCCCCGCGCCTGTCTCATCTCTCAAGCCCATTTCCTGTCAATTTGGGCTGTGGCTTCGCCGCAGCATGACTCGTCTCTGGGTGGCGAGGCGAAGCCCCCAGCCAGCAGCCCACCCGCCCACGGGGGCCACTGCCAGGAGCTCCCTTCTGCTGGCCCTCAGCTCCAGAGTCAAATCCAGCCACAAATCTTGGCCGCTTAGCTACAGCGACATTTGACAATGGCCTTTAAACTTGGTCGATATCACGTCTAGTTTTGTAACTGGGTTGCAAACTCTTCCTCCTCTGTTTTCTTCCAGGTCAGAGAGTGGCTTTCCTGCATTTCCCTAACGTGGCTGGGGTGCAGCTTCCTGCACTTCTGGTTGTTTTTTGCAAGGAACATGGAGCCTTCCAGCCCTTATTATTAGGAAATGTTTTCTGCTGTTTGTTCTGACTTATCTATTTGACTTTGTTTTGTTTTTCTTTTTCCTTCAAAGACAAGTGTCACTTTACAGCAAGGAAACAAACAGGGTACTTAAGGGATTACTTGCAAGACCCCACCCAAATACAGAGTAGGAACTTTGCTATCTGCTCACTATGGTGTATGGCCTCCAACTGTCTGATGAGTTTGTTAGGGATAAAAGGCATTGCATTTCATAATTTAGGAAAAAAAAACAAACCAAAAAAAAACAAACCAAAAATGCCAGCATCTTCTGAATTGGGAAGTCAGCCTCAAAAAGTCTCTATTTTATCTCTTGACATGCAATGTCCTATCTTTTATTTAGCTGGTTCAGCATATGGCAGGACAGAGTAAACCTTCTGGAATTACAGGGACCCAGCACATCACTCTCCTTACCAACACTCCTTGTCTCTGTTTCTATTTGGTGCTCTCACAAGAGGTCTCAGACCAGCTTAAACCATGGTATATGATTTAGCAGACAAAGAGGAAGCTTTTTTGGACAGCCCTGGCAACACTTGTTGGCAGCCTTTGACAAGTTCAGGTGTGGCTCCCACTGTGGTGTGGCTGAAATGTCTCAGTGGTGCTCCCTTGGTCCCTCCAGCTCTGATTTTACTAACTCATTCGAGCAGCAAAGACTGCAACAGTCGGTACGTGGACAGGCACTCGCCAACTGTCTGTCCCGTTTGCCCAAGCAACACGGGGCCCAAGGTTTTCGGGTGCAGTGTCTACCTAGAGATTTTCAATACCTGCAGTGAACAGCAAGG